CACATTGACCTCCACATGTATCTGCACACACATGTACACACACATTGTCCTCCACATGTACATGCACACGCATGTACACACACATTGACCTCTACATGTACCTGTATGCACATGTACATACACATTGACCTTCACAGGTACCTGCATGCACATGTACACACACGTAAAGATTTAAGCCGGAAGGAGGCAGTGACTAGATCTCAGTGGTCACACTCACAGCTATTTTGAGTGAGCTGGCTGGCAGTGAACTCTGGATTCCCCTGCCTCCGCCCCCTGAGTGCTGGGTCACTCACATGTGCCAACACTCTGCAGATTCACCCCCTGTTGTCATCGTGTCACTCAGCGCTTGCTCTTCCAGTAGACTTCTATATGCTGCTGTGCTCCCCATCCTCCCAGAAGACCTGCCCTTCCCAGGGAAGTGTGCGTATCACTACACATCGCTCGGCTCACGGCTGAGGGACTGCTGGTCCAGCAAAGAACATGATTAGCATTTAGAAAATGGTTGCTGACTTAAGTCAATTTCCAGCCGGAAAACAACATTAAAGTCTATTGCAAATGGCAAAGGAGTCTGGAAAGTTCTGAAAACTGAGTTAAAGCTCTAAGTCACAAACTTAAGAAAAGAAAAAAAGATAGAGTGATATAAATAAATAGAACATTGAGGTAAGACACACCCAGATATACACAACAAAGGCAAAACAAATGAAAATCATTTTCATGAAAAACATATTACAGTCAATTCCTCACACACCAGTATCAAAGGGCTTGACCACACTTGGCCTCAAAGACGAGAGAAGAGAGACTTAAAGTGACCTCTGAACTCAACTATCCCCATGTGTCAACTTCCCACTAAATCATAGCCTTGGGTATTTAGTTTCTAGATGTGTGTCCATCTTCTGCAAGGAACAGCTTTCCCTATCAACCAACTCTCAGTTCCTGGTCCCTTCAGAAACGAAGCATCTTGGAGCTGGACGGTGGATTAGTTGCTTTTGTTTTTGATGTCACAGAACATGTGACCGAAACAACGTAGGGAGGTGGGGTTTACTTTGGCTCACAGGATGAGAGGTGACAGCCCATCAGGACAGGGAAGGCATGCTGTGATTCACAGAGGCTGGTGACCGCCCGGGGGACCATGAGGCTGCTTGGTCACATTGCAGTAGAACAGGGAGCAGACGAGATGGGTCAGGACACAATGCACTTCCACACTTCAGGAAGGCTCCTTATAGTGATGGCCTGAGGTGGTCATAAGACCCTGTCCTCAGCTTGAGGGTCAGTCTCTGGGGGCTAATTATAGCAACCAGACCCCCTAAAGGCTTGGTTAATGTCCTCTTTCTACGAGGTTCATTCTTTAAAAGCTGGAGATGACCTAAATTGTTCTGAATCAAAAATGAGTGAGCTTAATTTGGGGTTGGGGGCCAGGCCTCACTGGAGTTCTAACCCAACGTGGGAAGCCACGCTGAACCAAAGGGTATCAGTCAATAGCCCTAAAAATGGGTTAAGGCTGTTTATTAACTTGAGCTTTAAAGGAAGTAGGTCAGCTTCTCAGTCAGCGCTAGCTCTGGGGAGGACACCCACAAGCAACAGCTAGAATCTTCTGGTAATTACAGTCATGGAAAACGTCAGCCACAAAACAATTTTATTTGACCCACGGGTGTTAAGTGCTCATTAAGTGGATGGTGCTGCGCTAAAGAGTGGTCTGTGATGGACAGCAGCAGGGTGGAGGAAGATGGGCACACAGCAGACTCCCCCGTCACCACCCTCTCTAGGCAATGCCACAGAGATGCACCAGCGTCTTAGAGTCTAAGGGGAAAGTGGTAGGATTCGCGTGAGCTGAGCCGTGGAACTGCCATTATGTACCAGTCTGGAGGGTGTTAAGAAAGAGCAGACGATGCACTGGGGCCACCTGAGGGTCTGCACCCATCCCAAGTGACGACTAGACTGGGAGGTAGTAAGTATCCAGCAAGGGAAGGAACATCTGACCCCAACTTCCATGGCTTCTAATTGGCCTCCAGCGAACGTCTAGACCTCCAGCTACTGAAGTTGACAGTGGGTGTGAACAGGGGCAGCAGTGTGGCCCAGTCAGCCCTGTCCCCACTCGCCCAGAGCATCACAGACGAGTTGTCCTGGGAATGTTGGTTCCTTTTCTTATTGTTGGGATAAAAATGCTTGACAAAGCAAAAAAAAAAAGAAAGGAAGGAAGGAAGGAAGGAAGGAAGGAAGGAAGGAAGGAAGGAAG